GTTTAAAAGATTAATTTAAAAAAATTTTAATCTTTATGAAAAATTAACTAACTCTGCCCCAGAGAATGAGGTTTGAAAATCCCACACGCGTATGTGACGCGTGGGAGCCTAGTTCTGGTTAGAGAAAATGATGGTTTTTTGGTTTTAAAATTAGGCAATTTGTAGGGAGGAAGCTGGCTAGGTAGTTGGCTACTTAGATTTTTGGATTTTTTGGGGGATATGGAAGAATGTTCCAAGGTTTGAATTCGGCTTATTGTTGGTAATACATTAGTCTTAAGGTGGATAACGTATTGTCTTTATTCTAATGAGAATGTTTGAATGATTACAAAGTGGGAAGTCATCATTATAGTTTGGTCATTGGGGGTCGCCCTGGATTTACATTTCATCCTTCGCTGAGTCTCCAATGTCTGAACCCACCAATTCTTAAAAAGAGAGACAGGAGCTCTGATGTTAAGAGTAAAATCTTTTATCACCAAAGAGTCAGGAGATCAGTTGCATTAATAACCGGTTAAGATGGCTTTGCATTTTTTGTAATTCTGCCAACATACATGAATCAGAATAAGCATTACAACTCATATGGATATCAGAACAATGATTAATTTAAAATGAAATATAATTAATTTACAAGCATAGCTCCCTTTCCAAATGACTTAGATTCGTGGTCCTGATACGAATTAGTTTGTTTTTTCCTCCGTTTAGCTCATGTCTGGTCTAGGCCATCGTTAGATTTCTATTCTATCTTATTGGTAAAAAGAAAAAAAGGGTGTGGCCAGTCCATCGCTGGGACAGTCTCTAGATCTAGACTTTTGCATGAAGAGAGAACCAGCTTTTTTCCAACTTGCGAAATCAAAGGGGATCATGTGCTATGAAAGCCAGCAAGATGCCATGACCTTTCGCCTTTTTGCCAGTACATTTTTGCCTTTTTGATGGAACCTTCAGCCCTTCATCTATGACAGCAAAGAAGCAGCATGACTCTAATTTCTCTAATGTAAATGTTTCCATTTATCCCCTAGATTAACAATGATTAATCTGATATAGGTTTGGTGCTTCAGCATCGGATGTTTTGACTATAAGCTAGCTGAGAGGCTTGACAATCTGATGTTATCTTTGATGATTAATACAATGTCTTCGCTTATAAAAATAAAGGATTCACATTCCTTTTTCCTCATGCCAGAAACAGGGTTTGACTCTTCAAATCGAGCGAAACAAAATTACAAGTGGAATTGGTGTTCCAGGGCTGTGGAGACGTGGTAGGCATCTGAGAACCAATTATGATTTGTGGTCCGAACATAAATTTGGGGCACCCAAGAAATTGCTCGAGTCGAGTCTACATCAGACATTAATTAATTAATCCATTGCGGTTTAATATAATAAAAAGTTTACAAGACTCAATCCCCCCATACAAGCAAAAGGAATTAACATGACCCTTTCGGTTTCAGAAAAAACCTGCCAACAATGTTAGCCCCTGGTTGACTGATATCTCAACACTGATGGGCCAGGCCATACTTCTTCCTTCCAAATGACACCCCAAAGAGCCAAATCTAGACAGCTGGGGACTGTAAGTGACTAATTTACATTAGCCAATTGACTATGCAAAAGAATTAATGGCTACCCTCAACCTTAATGTCAACATCTGGCGGCCGAGGTTTTCTTTTTTGGTTGAAATAGTCTGCCCTTACACAAATATAATAGCTGTATGTGATGAAAGAATTAAATCTCTCTGTAGGGATGACCCTAAACTTGTCTTTGAAGAAATTGAGATTTTGTTTGGAATGGGAATTATTCCTTCTTAGGTGTATGTAACTAAAAGAATGATTCTGACTTTTTAGGCCAAACCAAAAGTTGGTTCTTAGAAATTTGGTTCGTGACTTCGAGCTGTTTCTTTTCATTCTTTGTTGCCCTGTAACAACCAACTGTAAAGAGACTTTTCCAGGATTTGCCAATTGAAATTAGTTTTTGAACTTAGCATTTCTTTTTAGAAGAAATTAATTATAAGTTGGATATTTAAGATGAGTATATAACCTAAAATTATTTGTTAATAAATTATAAATTCTTATATATATTTAGAAATAATAAATTTATTAGGTAATATGAATCATGAAAGAATCAATAAATAAGGATAAGATATACTTTGATATCATATTTATATTTAAAATTTTAAAATACCTTAATTTTATTGATACAAGATTTGTTTATCATTATGTATATCTCCAACAGCATTCATTAAAAATAAACTAAAAAATCAGTTCAACCGAGGAATTCTATAAGGCAAAATATTGTAATGAAGATTGGGACATGAACCTTCTTAGAAATTCGCATAATAATTGAACTGGTTGGTCATATCGATTGCAATCGAAATCCAAAGCTGACAAACCCAAGACGTGCAAATGAAAACTATATTATATACGATGTTCATGAATAATTAAAATGTTTGGGAATATTGGAACCTCAATGAGCTGTGCAATCTTTTTTTGTGTTCTCATGTTTTATATTAATCCTGACAAAACTGTATATTTATTTATTTGTCGTCTCTCAGCTGTTTTGCCAGTCTTAATTATGTATAACAGTAGTTTAAAGGGGACAAACAAACCAAGACCTTCGACTTTGCAACATTCTATCCATTGAATGTGATATAGTTTGCCACCCAAGATTCTGCAACGTTCTGTTGTTTTCCCATTGCATTTTCCTCACGTTGCTTGTCCCTTGATAAGTTCAGATTCCTTTGATTAGGACTACAGAATGTTGTGTATGAAACTTATTCTCTTCAAAGGAGCAAGAAAGAAAATAACACATAAAATATTTGTCCAAGAGAATTTTTCTGGTTGATAAACCTAACCCAATAAATATTCTCGGAGATTTATAGATATTGAGTGTTTGATATTCCCAACTAGGAACTGGGATTTCAAGTGCCAATTCTATACATTATCCTCATCAAGAAGTCAAATTTCTGATAATGGGAAAACTTTGCTCTCATCTGCTGGACAATGCTACGTATTTGATATGGATAGCTGATGCCTGCAGGTCAAATTCAAGAAGATAATCAAAGGAAAGTAGTGAAACTCTAACTTCGTAATCCTTCAACTTAGATATATTTCAGGGCTTTATAATGCGTTGACATTTGTTCTTCTCAAAGCTTTAACAATTATAATAAACCACGTGCTTAACATATGAATATATATATTTATATTTATTTATTATATGTAAAAAGATATAAAAAATTAACGTCAAACAACATTTTCTTTTCCTTAGAAGATTGGTGCTTCTATCGGATTAGCTTCTTTTGAAGATTATTGTTTATGGCTGTTTACTTGGAACGGAAATTTAATGATTAGGTATATTCTGTGTTACTATCAAAGCATATGATCAGTGTTCAGATTGATGAAGTCAGATCGTTTAAAACCTAATATTCTAATTTATGTTTGCTTTAGATTATCTGGAAAACCATGCTAAAATTCTGGGTCCTAAAAGGAAGAGGAAACAGCTCTTTTGCTCCGCCACATAGTCCAATTTCATTAAGTCGGGCTTAGTAGCTCCTAAGATTTTCCCCATTTAAGTCACATTTCGTTAAGTCTGTCATCCAATTCCGTCTCTGCCTTACCGTTCTGTTGTTTCGGCCTTTCCTGTTTTCCTTTGTATTTCCACGTTCTCAAGCCGGCGTCCATGGCTTGCATCAGTCAAAAGTATAGACTTAGCGCAGGCGGTATGACCCATGGCTGGATGGCGGATCGTCTATTTGATGCAAGGCAACGCAATGGTGGCATCACTACGTGCCTCTTCTCCCGTACAACTACTCCTTGGTTAACCTTACTTTTTATTTTATTAAAATTTGACCTGATTAAGTCTTGTCAATTGTGATCTATTAATTATATAAACCGGTAATAATGTAATCAGTTCAAAATTAAATCTCATAATAGCTCTCTCTTGATAATTGTAAAAAATTTGATAACTTTTTTTAATCTATAATGTTCTTTTGTTAACCTAATCACACCACATTTTTAAAAAATTTCGTTAAAATTTAATTTTATATAAAATTATAAATTTCGGGAGAAAGCAACTGCCGCTTTGCAGGTTTCAACAATATGCCAAGTCATGCTTTGTAGTTGCCAAATTCTGCCAATGGCAGCTCGTAAAATCGACTGCTCTTTGCGTTAAATGGCCTTGATATGGAATTAGAATTAAATGATTTGACTGATTATAATTGAATTCTTTGTCCAACTTCTCCACAAAAAGCTAGTGCAACGACCGGATAAGAAGAGTTAAACAACCAACCCCGCATTAAAATTTTTGGTTGCTTTTGCTATTTGTGTGAAGGCCTACATTTTCATGGAGAATTTTGAAGCCATAGCCAATGCTATAGTAAGTAACAGGATTAAAAGAAGTAAACAACAGAAAACAGCAGCAATGATCATGTTTTGGGCATGGAAATATGCAGGAAGTTCCATATGGAAAGTAAGGCATGGTGGTCCTACTGGCTATTTCAATGGCCATTTTGGCTTATGGATGGCCTTGAACATATTCCACACCACACTATGTTGGCAATAAATAAATCATTTGCTTCATTCAGTGAAAAAAGATTAGAATGCATTTGAGTTAATGTTGCAAACGATTAATTAACTTCTACATCTCTTTTGTGTGAATTAATATGAATTAACTCGAAACAACAGAAGATGAGAAATAATTAATTAAAACAAATCCTCTTTATTGATCGAACTTTGTAAATACACTTTGTTTTGTAGAGGACAAAGTTTACAAAAACAAGGCATCCTAATTCTATGAAAGCAATCAACAGAGATTGCTGAATATAAGAAAACAACTATTTCACGTGTCGAGAAGAATAATTCGAAGTGTACAAACGGAAACAAATCTAAACCTTTATTTTGGATATTTTGAATGAATCTTTCGCATTTCCTTCACCGCAATTTGACCCAAATGCCCTGACTTGGAATGTCCTGATGAACAACAAATAAAAGATAAAATTCTGCCGGTGCAAGATTACCGGAATGTGGGTCGTGACATCAATGTTATACGTTGATTTCCCCAACGCAGTCACTTTGTCATTTCCAAGTACGAGCACCCTTTGATTCATGGAGAATGAATGTGTAGTAAACGATGGTGCTACCATTGTTACCGAAACCAAATTTGGATCTACTTTACCCGTGATCACCACTTGAACAGTTAACTTTTTCCCATATTGAATCCCGGACGATGACTTTGGAGCAACGATTGTAGGTCGCAAATTATTGAATTTAGCGTCCAAATATGCTGGAGAAAATGCCTCTAAGCTTAGTTCAGTAGGGAAAAGGACTCCCGTAAAGTTG